CTTCTGAGATACCTTAGGACTGTTAACTAACTTATTGAAAGCCTTTACGTTTCCTTATACTATCTGAAAAATAAAAATTTAAGTATTTGAAGGTGATGCTCTCGCTACTCGAAAATCACCGTTCAGATTTTTATAAAATTCGTCTTATTTACAAATACAGTAAAAAAAAATCGATTAAAATTTTATTAGCCTACACAGCCTAAGAAAAAGTTATAAATATCATAATTTTGTGAGTTAAAAGTAGTGACGATTGTTCAAAATTACTTTTTAATTCAAATTTAAAAAAAAAATACCGTTGAGATTCAAACTCACAGATTTTAATGAAAATTATTATAGTAAACATAAGTAAAGTAAATTTTGATTCAGTTTCATCAAAGAAGGTAGAAGTATACACCACATAAAATGGATACGTTTGGATGCCTTTTCCTGCCTTTCGATGCCTGTAGAGGTATATACTCATCCATAGAATTAACTGCTGTGAATATGCGGTTGGGCGACTTGGCACTCATTTTTATCACTAGAATAACACGAGTACTAAATTATAATGGAACATCAGTTCAGAATTTTGACTTTAAAAAAAAGGACACTTACCTGATAACTAATTTGGTCCTTAACAAACTAACTATAGCTTAATTTTTCTCCACCCCCACTTGTTGTTACTTACGATTTTATAAACCTGTATTTTGATACGCTTTTATTTTACTTATTTTTACATCTATCGATATGGGGGGGATGAGATCTCTTAATCAATTTTAAACCTACTTCTAGATTAGCTAAAAATGGTGTTTTGTAACAAAAATATTTCTTACTATGGCACTATAGTTTTTGTACTAATTTCTTATTGACAATTCGAGACGATAAGTACGACAGATCAGATTAGGATGTACCTTAATTTCTTCACCCGTAAATATAGCTCATCTTACCTTACTCAGTAAATTTCCGTATATTATTTCTACACAATTGTGTAGATAACGCACTCTTGTTAAAAAGTCCAAAGTTGTTTAGTTGCAGATGAAAATTGTAACTGAAAAATATAAAATAAAGCAAAAAAAAATGCTTTTATTAATAAATTAAAAAGTAGAAATACGTGAGTGTGAAAAGTAGTATTTCTAATGGTGTATGTGGTGTTGTAAGCAAATAATTAAGTGACTCTCACGCTGATGAAATATGCAAAAGTTATTCTCTACTTTTTAGTTTAAAAATTAAAAGGTACTTTCATAGTTTTATACATACTCATATATATTTCTGAAGTTTCATCATTGGCCTGTAACAAAAATTGACTTTAAAAAAGCCCTTACTCACAGAATTTTTTTTTTTCAAATTTTTTTTTAACAGTACTATTTATTTTATTTTATGAGGAAAAATAAAAGGCGACAAATAAGAAACAAAAATTGAAAAGACACAAGCTTCAAATCATCACACGAATCATAGGGATTTAGTTATCTGAACGAACAGTTACTATTTGTGATAAAAAATGACGTGATTAATGTAATGATAAAATAGATGTTGTTACCACTATAAAATTTAAGAAGAAAAAAACTCCATCGAGTTAGCATTTTCTTTAAAGCAATTTTGAGTTAGTATGCATATATTTATATCTGTCTGTAGACTGTGCCCATTAACTACCCATGGAAGAATGCTCAGACGGCCCAACATTGGTAGGGTATCGGTAATCGTTAATGCTAGTACCTACTGTTAAGTACCGTTTTAGTATTTGCATGCGGTACTCAAGTAATATTTATAATTAATTGCTGACTCAGTATTGATGAAATACTAGCTTATCATGATTTTCTTTCTTAACATTTTTTTAGTCACCTTATCATTTTTACCAGGTGATTTTATTAGTTATGTTAATGAAATTAAACAGTACTTTCAAATTTAATTGTCAAATTTATTTGGACATTGGTACTTTACGTATTCAAACAACATTTTAATAAGTACTTAATATGTATTATCTTGAACATTATATTAAGTTATTAGACATAAACGTAAAAAATTAAAAAATTATAATTTGAACATTATCAATTATTTAACATCTTCAATATTATGGTCAATTAGTGTATTGTCTTCAATTGTTGCTGCTGCTCTTTTTTTGCACCCAATATATCGATCACCTGCTCCAAAAAACCATCGTGATTCTTATTTCTTCTTTAGATAATTTTCGGTGCCTATGATGACGACAGTCTTCCAAATATTGATCAATTCATTGAGAACAACTGCCTCTTTGAACTCAAAGTAACTAAGTAATTGGTTATATTATTATTTACTAATTCATTTTTTATCTCAGTGCTTGACTTAACTTTTGCATCAAATTCTTGGAATTACAATAAAGTGGTCATTGGAAGAGACGACTTAAACAATTTAAAAGCATCGGATTGCCATAGCAGATATATTCATCATAAGATTTTGATAATTTTTATGCGAGTCGTATTGAATACTGTTTCTGATGTTACTGTAAGTAATCTCATATCTTTTTTTTTTCTTTTTTTTTATTAAGATCTTCAATACTCTCTTTAGTCGCAATCTTAACTTGAGTATGTTCTATACGGTTTGAGATTGCATTAACACAGCACTAGTGGTATAGAGATTAATATCATTATGTGACTCCACTGAATCGATTCTCTTTCTTTTCTTCACTCTTTGTTGTTGTGGTTGTAATACTGGTGTCCTACTAATTTAAAGATCATTATTTAATTCACTAGTCAAATCTTCTTCGCTCACTAAAATCACGTCATTGCACTTCTTGCTTATTTCCTTTTCTATTGAAATATTGAAAAATCCATCGTCTAACTTACTATTAGCCATACCTCAGAAACCCTTGGACTGATTTCAATGATCCAGAGCTTGAAATTCTGTTTTCTCATCCTTGTAGCGGTTCAGAAAAAAATTGAGTTTTGTAACTTATTAAATTAATGAAGCTGAATCTAGCAGCCAAATTTTAGCAGCGGTTCCATCAAACTCCAATTTCTACTTTAAATATTTTTAAACTAAGGCGATATCTCCACTACAATTTGGCTGATAGTTTTAGTTCTATAATTATAATGGTTGTTTTTACGATTTCTTGATTATTAAAAAACGATACTTTTGGATTATTTGTACATATTTTTTAAATTATTTTGCTATTCTCACAAGTTCAGCGAAACAGTACCAAACAACTTAACTAGGTAACACTCTAAAATGACCGTATGAAAAATTTTTTCATAAATTGAAAAAAATTTCGGAAGGCGTTAATAGTAACTATGAAAAGTAGTATTATTAGTAATGTTGAAAAACGGTACTAAATAAAAGTGTTACAAAGCTCTGAAAAGTCTTAAAACAAAACAATAATTGACGTCTAAGAGTATTTTAGATAAAAACAATTGATTATACCGCCTTAATAATATGGCTACATTTTTACACCACGAAACATAATAAGAAGTTTTAGATTTTTTAACACCAAAATCAAGTATATTAGCTCCTAGATTCAGACCATGTAATTATTACCTTTTGCAATAACTAAGCTAACTATGAAGGTAAATCTAGCATCGAAATTGCAATAGCGACAACGTTAAATAACAAAGGGTATCTTTAAAAATTATTCAGGTGACACTTTATTTTACTAAAGTAAGAATGTACCTGGTCTAATTTTATGGGTACCTATTATACACTTTGGTGTTTGACAGAATCGCTTCTGTACAATTTGGCTGCAAGTAAACGTATTTCCGTTTTATCTCAAAAATATTGTTCATTTTTAATTGCCTAAACGGTGAGTAACACTCCTGAGAATTACATTTTTCGAAAATAAAAGCACAAATACACGTAAACTAAGTTGCACTGCTGTTTACTATTGTTGACAAATGTCAAGATCTCGAAGGAGACGAAAGTTTTTCAGATACAACTTTATTATGCCATAACATTTTAAAAATAACGAATGTAGGCTGTGGTGAAACGATTTACACATGTACAATGATGTCTTGAATTCAATAGCTTGTCTTTTTTTTTTGCTCGTGGTGATAGTATAACATCTAAGCGCTGCAGCGAGTACTAGATAACTGTGAAAGAAAACAAATACATTATGGCAGTATAGGTTACGCCTATTTTAAGTACACTGATTATTACTTCACCTTCTTATTAAACGTCTAAAGATTTCATTGCCACCGTAGTGCAAAATGATATTTGAAGGCGTGGCTGGTTACTATATAATCATGGTTCGTCGGTTTGCCCACACAGTCCTCTCAACTACGACGGTATAACATTCAGTACATCGCAATGTTTTTGAAAGTAAAAAACACTCTTTATGACGCAAAACTGTTTTTTTAAATAATATATCATTATTTTTGGTACATTACTAAATATTAATCAATAACAATATCATTTTCACGGTTATAAAAGATTTATACTAAAAAAAGCCTTAAATCATATTTTTCCAAGTATCACAAATTCTTTTTAATATCATTTTTAATATTACTGGTATTATTAAAATGACTACTAGGAAAATAAATTTAATTTAAGATAAATACTTATTTATATAGTGTTTATAAACCCAAATGACAAATCATTGAACTATACTTTTTTAAATTATTTATGTATTTTTTTATTGTTACATCATATGAATTTAAGGCCCTTGAAAACCAATAGTTTATCTTTATGAGTAACTTCTTCTTATTTTATTCATTCATTTACTCGTTGAATGTATTTCATTGAAAAAAAGACATAATTAAATAGTTTTTGAATAATTTCTGGTAAGAAAATTAATGAATTATCAACACAAAATTTTCTACTCTAACATAATAAAATAAACATACATAACAATATAAAATAATATTAATGTACGTGTTCATGTGCTTAAAAAATTAATTTCAGCATTTAATCGTTGCCGGTGTTATTGCTGTCACCACATCGACTATCGTAACATCACCAACTGCCGCAGCCACCGTTGCTGTAGCATCTCCAACAGCAACTGTCGCTAGGACTGAAAATCTTGACTCTCAGCCACGATACAGCTTCAGTTACAGCGTCGCTGATGGATTAACTGGTATGTCCGACGTTAGTTATCTATCTACTATGACTTGCATTCACTCTCTGCTTTTTCTGAATCTACTAAACGCTTAGGGACTAAATACAGCTATAATTTTTACTTTATTAAAATGAAGACTCTTTTTTCGTCATCAATATTTAAAAAAGTTGTATTAACTCTGCAATGGTTAATTTCAGGATCACATAACTAGGTATAATGTGATGTAATAAAACTAATTGGGTAATACTTCTAAAAGTCAAGAAAATAATTTTTCTTACCCCTTATCAATCTTCGGAAAGTTTTTGCCTTGAAAATGTTGCATCTGTATAGACAGCTTATTTCAATTAATTTTCTCCCTACCGGGCTCAAAGTAATCCCAATTTTTTAAGCACAGAAATTTTTTTTTATGATGTAGAAGCAGTAAAATAATAATAAATAAGTATTAACATCTTTTTTCCGAACACTGTGTAGCTAATAAGTGTTTTCCACATCATTTTTTTGTGCGAAAATCGAATTTCCCACTTTGATTTGATGAAAAGTGTTCGGAAAATATTATTTTCACGAGTGTTACAAAGAATTTATGACGTACAGGAAAATTTTTTTTTTTAATTATAACAGTTTTAAACAAGTAATAACAAGTGAATCATTATTACACATAAAAAAATGTGAAATCTAATGAAAATAACTCGTAGTGTCTGTCTTTTTATTCATTAAACTGTGGTAAATATAAATCAGTTAATTTTTAATGTAATGTTATCAGACAGTTAAACAAGCATATTTGCTAACACACACAAATGAAATATAACTTTCAGTTATTCAAAACAATATAATTGTATAAAGTCATATGATTTCAACTATCTAATAAATTTCCAAAAAAAAAAAATTTAATTTTGATGAAATTGATGTTGCTCATGGTTTTTGAAAAATGAAAATGATTTTTTTTTAAAACGATCACTTCATTTGTTTGGTAGTCGCTTCGCCCTTCATACCCACCGGGGCTTTTTCCCCTGGTCTTCCACCCACAGAGGCTGCCACCCTGGACCCTGCACAACCTTTCTTGCGAATCATACATTTACCACCTCAGTTTGAGTTTCACAACTCTAAATAATAGAAAAACGTTCATTACACTCACTATTTATGAATCATATACCTCGTATATATGTGAATAATACAAGGTGCATAAGCCTTCAGTGTGTTCTTTTAATTAATTACTTCAAAATTTATACCAATTTTCGTCGCACATATCATGACAAATTCTGTACAAAACTCGTGCGGACGTTTTTCCGTACTAAGTATGTGATCGCACTCGATATTGATGCCAGTAATTTGTACCATGTGATCAAACTCGTGTCACACAATTTTGTTATCGATTGACACTCATTTCCTGTCGACTTTGACCACTAGTATGCATCAATATCAACTTTTCAGTTTTTCTTTATTAAAGTACACTACAAATGTCAAGGATGTTGCAGGAATTTTTTCCGATTTTTCCATCCTAATAAGCCAGTTATACAGGCTCGCGAATTTGAAGATTCTGTCTCCCCAAAATAAAAACTAAAAGCCCGTAACGCTAAGGAATGATATATATCTTTTTGAAGCGTTCGGTTTTCGACTCGGAACTCGGAAGGTGGCGGGTTAAAATTCAACTGTTTTATATATAACACGTGCAGTGACAAAGTTTAATTTGCGTTTGATGCATTACAATCTCGAGCCCGTAACGCTATTTCGCAACAATACAAAAAGGATTGTATTATCACTGAGTGTTAGTTTATCGACTGGAATAGTGTAGTATATAATAGGATAGACACAGCACATCGTACAAATGCAAAAATCAAGTTAAATTTTCACTTTTAGTGATACTAATAATGATTTTAGTAAGATTTTTCGAACCCGTAACGCTCCTTTTTTTGAACGAACCGCTTTATATCTTTGTGCAGTGTTTTACCATTGACTCGGACAGTGTTGTATGTAATAATATTTCTACTGTGAGTGGTTGTGACGTTCTCGTTATTATTTACGGCTAATTACCGAGGAGAAAATCACGTCGTTGACTATAAAGGAGTCGTGGGTTCACGGTACTTACCTAGACCATAACATTCTATCTAATGCATGAAATAAAACTAAGAATTATCTCCCGCCCTTCTAATGCCCCATGTAGAGATGAAAAGATAGGAACTATGGAAAATTTAGATGTTTGTCAATACTCAATATATTACGAGTATATCAAACATCTAAAGGAAAGGTAATAGGACCCCTTACCCGCAAACCTATAAATTATCTTATGGTGGCTAACGTTACAACTTCGTGAAAGGTGTCATATTACATGTAAATAGTTTTTCAACGCAATTAATATGCGAAATACGTGTAAATCAAAAATATCATGTATTCAATCAAGTTTTACACACAAGAGCGCGTGGCTCGAATTACATAAACGGCATAAGACGCTCGTTCGCTTGAAAACTTATTGAAGTGTTTGAACAATCGTAAAGTTCAATACGCTATTCTTAAAACAAATAAACTAATTGAAAATCGTTAGAAAAGAATTATCAAAAGAGTGATTCAATAATTAAGGAATAACAAGAATATAAAAATAGCTGGCGTAATTTGTACGCGAAAGGCTCGGACACAATGCCTCACCAAGCACGTCGCTATAGGCCAGTGTTGTGAGATCAGTCTAGAAGCCCGAGAAGCAAGGTACTTTGACCTGCTAGGCAGAGAATCTAGAGCTAGAATCTGATGTGGCTGTGTCTTGATCATACAGCAAACCTCGGTTTTTCGGCGGCTCGGCAATTGCTTCGTGAGGGGGAAATTTGCGGACTCTCATCATTGGTAGAATGTTGTTGTCTCTTTCCCTCTACTCCTGCACTTCATGACGCACACTATCGCTATATTTGCATATCCTACTTATCGGCGGAAGCTTTAAACACTAAATAATAATTTTATATTTTTAATAGTCGAAATTGATAAATTTACTATTTTTTTGGTAGGAGTGACCGATGGTCACATGGTATAATCATGATTTTGGAATGATTTTACGAACCCGTAACTCTCTTTTTGTTCTTAAATAAAAAAAGAAAATCGGCGTGAAAAATTTTCTCGTGCAGATCTAGCAAGGCCCAAAAAATTTTAGCTTATTTTGGTCACGGGCAATACAAAAAAATTTTTAGAAAAATTTAAAACCCGTTTTAAGTATCTGTCCATTCCGGCCTCGAAATGTTATGCCATTTTCAGTGGAATGACCCGTATATATGTATGTGTGTGTAGTAATCTAGCTGATGACAAAAAAATTACGTAAACAACAAGCTCTAATCCAAGCATAGTGATATTAAAAAGTCAAAAGCAACTAACGAGTAAGCCATGAGGTTTTTATTAATTTTTGAACTTATACTTTATTTTAAATGATAAAATATTGTGATCCAAGATTATGAACAGGTTGAGATGTTTTCAATTTTCAAGGCATATAGCATATAAAAAATTTAATTCTTTCTTTCCAAAATCAATGTGATGAAAATAAGTCAGATTTCCATTCTTTTTACATGTTATATTTTTATAATACGATGAGATAATATTTCTTACTCGCAGGGGATAACAAGGCTCAAGAAGAGACCCGCTATGGTGATGTGGTCCAGGGTAGATACAGCCTCATTGAGCCTGACGGCACCAGACGCACAGTGTCTTACGCTGCCGATCCAGTCAATGGCTTTAATGCAGTTGTACAAAGAAATCCACGTCTGAATATCGACGCTGAAGTCTCAGTTTCACCCGTACTTACAAACCCTGGGATTGTTAATCTCCGGAATGTTGCCCAGTTTACTCATTTTGGACAAGGGAATCAGATTAAACGGCCTACTCTGGTCTCACCTGTTCAGGTCATCCAACCTGCTATGATCTCTGGTCAAGTTGTTGGCTCAATTTTACGACCAGTGCTCGTCCCTCCTCAGGTTGGACGTCAAGCTGGGCGTCATGCCGTAGCTTCGGCAGACTTGCGCGAAGCAGTTCTTCGTACGGTCGACGTGAGTACATACTTATTCCATCACAATAATTTATATTGATCTGGTGCAATACTAACATTTTTCGAGTCTGTAAAGCCTCTACGAAATAGTGATTTTATTGTGACATCAGTTCATTGTTTGTTTCAAAATAGCAACATCGAGTCGTAAACGTTGTATCAGCCCCATCGATTACCTCCGCAAACGTTTTGTCCACCCATCATCAGGGATCACGACTAGCCGGCACTGTCAGCAATTTACCCGTCGCGGTCGACGTAGTTGGCATTCAGCAGGACAATGCTTTACTCGAAGAACAGCGGCAACATCATGTACTAGCCACCGCAAGTACCGTCAATACAGATGAATTTGTTCAGTAAAAAAATGTAAAAAAGTCTAGTTTAACTCATACCTTTGAATAAACATAATCGAAAAACCCTGTACCTCACATCCATGAAATCTGCCAACACAGCGCAGCAGACACAGTTAACGCAAAATGAAGAAGAAAAAAGTATAACAAAGGAATAATAAAATATACATCCTTACGTATTATATGATACTTTTGTAACATCATTTTTAATGGTATATAAATTTATTAAAGACTTTAATGAAGTCTCATAGAAATGTAGTTTCGCATTCCCCATGTAAAGATTATTTTATTCCATTATTAAAAACCATAAATTGCCTCAACATATATTTCACACTCAGTCTGCAATCAGATATTGATCATTCTTTAAGATTTTTTCGATGTAAATAAAATAGTAATGTTGTCTGAGTGTTTAGAACTTGATACTAAAAACTGATTTTTGTTATTTCGAGAAACAATAAAAAAAGTTGAAGCCTAGGAATACAAAAACTAGTTTGTGTATCAAAAATAAGGCATGATTGTGTTTTCTGATGTTTTTTACTATTCGCTCCGAATCGATGCAGAGGTTGCGCTCCCTCTAGCCACAAGCCACAACCAGGCAAAAGTTCTTGCATGTAAATAAATGGCTTAGCAGGCTAGATAGAGAACGACGATCCCCTCGATGCTGTCTCCTTCAGTCAATCACAATGTTTAAATTTGTCGGCAAAAATTTTGAAAAATTTCAGTTAACATAAACTATATTTATTTTTAACCTCCATCAGAAATTTTTTGAATCGGTTAAGAAATGACAGAGATAACTTTAAAAAACCAAAATTTATCATTTAGATCCTGTATCAACATGGTGGATTGGAGTCTGGAAAAAAATTTTTTTAATTATTTTTTCCAGTTCACTACATACATGATTTTTTCAGATTTTTTAGAGTTAAGGCAGTTTTAAGATTGCGGCCCTTTATAAGATTTTGGTCCGCATCTTTAACAACATCTAAGTCTTGGATACAATTTTTTTTGACTGTCTGAAACACGTGAAAGTATTGTTTACGTTAACAACTTCAATATCCCACGCGGTAGAAAAATTCAAAACTCTGTACTTTCATTCCAGATGTCGTCAAAACTATAAATTTACGAGTGAGACACGAGCCCATAACGCTAATTAAGCCCTTTTATTACATCAAAATCTAAAAGAATACTTTTTGATGGTCCGAATTCAGTTGTACCTTCAGAAGTAAACATCACTGTTAGGTATTTCACAAACAACGATATACCAGTTATACCATCATGTCAGCATTTACAAAGCTGTACTGTCCATCCGTTGTTGATAACCAAGTGAACAGGTACAGCTGGTCCCATGTAAGTTGTGAAATATTTATGCTGTTTCATTCAAAAACCAGCAGACAGCGAAATGAGAAACGAGGACTGTATATATATATCCCTATATTATATCGTTGTATTAACGAAAGTGAGTCTCAGCCCCCCCCCTCAGCTCCCCCTCGATTCACATAGTTATTTGCTTGTTTTTACGTCATTTTTAATCAAATTATATTTGAGTAACCTCCCCCAGCTCCTCCTCAGCTCCCCCTCCACCTCCCCCAAAAAATACTTATTTATAGTATATTTTACTATCTGAAATGTTAAAAAATATATGTTATTTAGTTACCCAAGTCATACCTCGTTTTTAGGGTTTTTTAAGTCACTGATCATAGGTCCCCCTCTGTCTATTCTCTCCCCCTTACTCACTATATGTCTCTGAAGGACCATTATTTGTTTAACTTGATTGAACTATTACATTTCAAATCTATTTCTGGTCCATGTGTACTTTACCCAAATATAAAATTCTTGATTAACTGAGGACTTTATTTACAAAAAGACAGAATTCAGGAGAAGGTATAATTAAATAGACAAACACGCAATTAAGCTTTTGAAACAATAATTCATTCTGTTAATTTAATGTTGTGACATTTCATGTGTTGTTTTAACCCATCTGTTCTTTTAAAACCCTTTCCACATTTTTCACATATTTTTTTTCATGGTTTTTATGAATTAATATATGTCTGTTTAAATGTGATGATCTTTGAAGTTACATATTTTTGAATTACTGAAAAATGTCCTGCTAAACAATATTTTCAATTTCTAATTTATTCTCGGATTTAATTTGAATAAAAATTCTTTTTGGATTCTTACATCTTGATAAAGCAACGTATAATTGTCCGCAAAAGAATAAAGGATTTTTAATATACAATCCTGAGAAATCAAAACTCTGTCCTTGTGATTTATTGATAAACATAGAAAATGCTAATACTTACAAAGGGAAACTGTTTTCTATAGAAGACAAAAGGTAATGATGATGAGGTGGCAGTATTCAATGTTATTCTAGGAATATAAACTTTGCTTCCTTTTTTTTCTCGCGTTATTATTTCTGCTTCTATATTATACTTCAATAATTTTGTTATTATTAATCTTGTGCCATTACAGAGACCGTCTGATATACTTAAATTTCTTATTAACATTACTATAGCATTTATTTTTAATTTTAATTCGTGTGGTGAAAGACCTTCTCTGATATTATTGAAAAATTCTATCGGAAAATTAATATTTATGTTATCATCTATTTTATTAACTCCTTTGTGAGTCGCGTATTCAGCTGTTGTGAACTCATTCTCAGCCTGCATTGATAATTACACGAGTAATATCGTTATTTTGTCTACTCAATCTGTTAGTGGAGGGTTGACGCGCGGAGCGCGCAGGGGGGCGTTAGCCCCACTAGGATATATATTTATATTGTAGTGCTTTACGTCCGACTCCTATAAAGGGCACTACTGAGGGCACTTAGCACTTGGGAGAAGGAAGGGAAGAGGGATACGAGGCCTCCCATTACATTATGCTGCGAGGAGGTCGCCTAAACCCTCCTCCAGGAACATTGCGTAGTGAAAAAGCACATGTGAAAAATCACATAAGGTACTTGCCCGAAAAAGTCGCACTCACCGGGAAACGAACCACGGTCTCCCGCGTGCCAATGCACGACCTAGCCGACTGAACCACCGTGCGCTCCGTATACTTATATATTTATATTATTTATGCTACTTCACTACTTGTGTACTTGTGTTGGCGAACACCATATATAGTTATACTGCTTGTATTGGCGAGCACTCGTATATATAATACTAACGAAAGGAATTGGCATTATGCCTCTACCACGTGACCTCAGTATATATATGACTAATGTAGAGGGAAAATAACTCAGGTCTTATGGGAGGAATTTTGTTTTTATTTTTTTTCGCACTTAAAAGATATTGAGCTTAAAAAGGTTGTTAATTTCATGTTACTGACATAATGAGAGTTACGTAGTTATTTTTTTCCTTTGATGAATTCGTTCATGAAGGTTGAAACAGCATTTTGAACGTATACGGAGTGCCGTTAACCCTACTTGGAGCTGTTTGTTTATCTCTGAGCATCAGCAGCAGTAGGGTTAAACGGCACTCTGTATACGTTCAAAACGCTGTTTCAACCTTCATGAACGAATTCATCAAAGGAAAAAAATAACTACGTAACTCTCATTATGTCAGTAACATGGAATTAACAACCTTTTTGAGCTCAATATCTTTTTAAGTGCGAAAAAAAAATAAAAACAAAATTCCTCCCATAAGACCTGAGTTATTTTCCCTCTACATTAGTCATATATGTACTGAGGTCACGTGGTAGAGGCGTAATGCCAATAGGGTCGTTTGCTTAAAAAAAAAATTATTTACATCAAATATTGAAATTTGTTGTTACGTGGTAAAACGGTTTATAACAAAATAATTTAAATTAAATATATGAATAGTAACGAATAAACTGAGTTTTTGATAATTTTGACCGTTACGCCGTTACGTTACATTTGATACGTTACGCTGTACGTAAGAACCAGCAGTCTATATTTCTTATTTCTTATAGACCAAGAGCTGAGACCCAAGGAAAGGGTGGTAAATCTAAACCAGCCGCAAGTGCCGCAACCCTTATCTCTTAGTAGAAGTGAGGAACCTTATGATTCGTAGAGGTCGGGAATATTATTGTGATATTCCATTTTGATAAAGAGACTGAAGAATTATGTGACAATTAAAACAGTGCCATGTAATCTTACTAATATATAAAGCAGAAGCGCTAAAACCGATGTAATCGCTAACCGCGAAAACTACTGAACCGATTTCGTTGAAATTTTGCACACTGATTCATGATACTTCCTAGATGGTTTTAGCATAGTTTTTATCTTAAAAAATTTAATAACAATAGCAATAAATGAGCTCAAAGCTTTGCAAAAATATGCCAGCTTTTCTCTTTAGTTCAGTAAAATCCGCTATGTGGCATCGACATAAAATCGAAGCTACCTGCAACATAATTAAATAAATGTGGTTATAATAGGCCGGAGCGTATCGATAGTGGTATAGTCGAGCTTTGGCAGCTGAACAATCTCTACAAAGAATGTTGGTGATAGTCCTGCAGCTGGGTATCCCGGTTACGGACGACACTCTTCTCTAAAGGGGAAGGGACCTAGGTGTCCCTTTACCCTGAATCTCGACGAGTGCGATCGAAGAAAATTAAATCCAACAGATGCCGTCTCTGCCACAATACCAGGAGACATATCTAGCCAGAGCACAATCTGCACCAACTCTTCAGAGTTGTGTGGCAGTCCCACCATCCCAACTGGTGCAGTTAGAGAATTTGTGGCTACAAATGTAAGCAAGGGAAAAAAGCTCTGAGAGGCACGGGAAGGAACAACGGCTACCTTCTTGGTCGTCGCGTCCCCAATGCGCTTACCCACATGTTCCCGTCTAACAATAAGCGGTTGGTTATCCGGGGAACGACCCGAGACGAGATATTCTTTGGTCAACAACGTACCTCCCTCCATCACAGTCTCCGTACATCGAGTCTCCCAGGGTAAGAATCAAGCTACCTGTAGCCAGCTCTTCATCATCAGGAATAAAAATAGCCTGGAAGTTTCACCACTGGCGCTTTTTAGAGCCATTATAAGTATTTACGTTCCCTACTTAACCATCAATTTCATCGGTTCTTTTTAGGATCCACCTAATTGTAAAATACCTGGCCAACAAATACATTTTTATTACCATTTCCGGAAGCGATTCGTCGACTAAAAGAGTATATTAACTAAAGACGGGCACTATTAAACCAAGTCAGCCATTCACTAGCAGACGTCACCTGCGGAGTTGTTCTTCGCAAGGCTGGAAAACCCGGTGACCGACGACCCTATATTACCCTCTCGACTCTAAGCATTCAACCAGGAATCACTGATCCTCTCCAAGGTCTGCGTTGGGCAAACCTATAACAGCTATGAAGGAAAAAAAACTTGAGCCAACGGGACAGCCTCCACTGGACAAGTATCACTAACCAATCTCCCCATCTAAGATCACCAAAACAACTGAATCTGCAAATAAAAAAGGTGCTTTAGACACCAACGTCTTCGACGTTATACCGGGAGACGTTGGGAAAGAGCACTACAACTAGCCCCAAAGCTTCGGACTTTGTAATTTTTCTCCCAATCAGTCTGGGTCTTCAACAGCAAGCCAGAGAAGATCACCCTGAGGTATCCAGGCAGTCACAATTGCTGTTAACTGCAGTCAAGAAAGAGTTAACTTAAGAAGCTCACCGGTCTTTTTTAGGGCCATCGGACGTCGAACTACCTTGCCAACAAATATATTAGAACTTAACAAAGTTGACAGAAAACAGCCTTTAGGGGTCACAAAAATTTTAAGCATGCCAAAAGTCGCAAGAGGGTGAATTGGAAGAAAAACTTCAAGTGTATCTAATAAATACAATTTTACTTAGGCGTCAAGAAACTGACGCAGAAAATTTATCGAGATTGAAACAGCAGCGTCAAAATCGACAACTAAAGAGTCCATTACGTGAGAGATCAGCTTTTCATTGTACCCTCACAGCAATCTCTGAAATCTTTAAAGATCCTACTTCAGATTTTTTAATGAGTAGAAAATGTATTTGTGTTTTTGTGGCAATAAAAATGTAGGGTTTAAGGTCCAGGACTTTGTTGCTCTGGTAATAAAGTTGTGAGATATGAGAAAAAAAATTTTTTTTTAATATAAATTTTTTGGGGGTTTAAAATCTTAACAGCTTTAAAAAATAGCCGTTTTCGTGAATTACACGGGAGAAACTGTAAATCAACGGCTTCTTATGGTCACTGATTATTTTATAGCATAAAGAACGCACGGTACTTTTCAGCATAATAATTTTTTTGAATTTTTACACCTCATTATTTACTCAAATAAACTATATGGATTCCGAAAAAATATGTTTTTAATAAGAAGATTTTTGTTCTGAGATGTATCAGGAATATGTGTAAAATTTCTAACTGAAAATGTTTCACATTACATGTCAACACACTACGGTGTTTTATTTAGTAAGTCTCGGGCGAAGCCGAGACGGGGGGCTGCTAGTTAGTTTTATAAACCAGCGGCAACTTTGTCCAAAGGATAGATTGCCTAAAAATTCTTATATAGTTTGTGCCAAAATTAAAATTTATCTTCTACCCGAAACTCAACCTCCAAAATTATAGATATTCTAATTTTATTTATAATCGTCGTATCTACAATGCCTTATCTATTATCTTAGACGAGTATTATAGATAAGATCAGCGTTAGATGAGCGTTAGCTGAGCGGTGTATAAAGGTCATTTTCCCACCTTTATTGAATCCGCAAATTGCCAGAACTTTGAGCTTGCATACAAATTATGGTAAAAAAAACCAACTGGCAAAGTTGTGACTTGGTTTTGCTTTTGTGTAGGGGATCCATTTTTTTGAAGGTCTATTTTCGGATAAAAGATGAATTCTAGTCTTACCGCGGGGATTCTACGATTCCTGTGACGACAAAAAGTAAGTATGGTTTTCGATAAAGAACTTATCAAGGATTAAGGGAAAAATATTTTTAAAAATTCTATCTTGATGCGTTTTCGAGATATCGAACTCGAAAGTACGAAAATTCGAGTTTTACATTTAAAAGCAGAAAATATGATTTTAATTGTAAAAAATATCAAGATAAAAGTGAAATACTTTAAAATAATAATTTTTATGCAAGCTATCAGCATTGCCTAGGATTCACCGCAAAGAGGTTGCATGCTGTGCATCCCATGTGTAATATACTTTTTTTTATCATTTCCACACATATATTATGTGGTTGGCTACTTTACCGTCGGTACTTCGTAGGAATTGGTTATTTTTGGCCTTGCCGCAAATGGCACTTTCAGTTCACAACTTATTATTTTTTATCCATTGGACTAAGTTACTGCTGGTTTATAAAATAGACTATATGGCACTACTATAATTACCACATAACTTTTTACTAGAATGAAATATGACAGAAATATTTCGGATCTCTACGAATCATAAGATTTGTTCAAGCCTCTTTTGGTTCGGTTCGGTTCGGTTCTCTTAACAAAATATACCTATATATACAGAACTAGTTCTGTGTGGTTTCCTATATATAGGTACTTTACTAAGAGAACCGGACCGAACCAAGAGGGGCTTGAACGAACCTATGAAGTTCTTCAATTCTGGTAAGTGTGGCGGCCTGGCGGCTGGTTTTAGATCAAGAGCTGAGACTCGAGGGTGGTCAAAATTTTAACCAGCCGCCACTCGCACCAGAATTGAGGAACCTTATGATTCGCTGAGATCCGAAATATTTTGGTCATATTTCATTCTGGTGATTATGTGGTAATTGTAGTAGTGCCATATGATCTTTTTTATTAACCAGCCGCACCTTATACCTATGGATAGGGGAATAACAAGTGGTTAACTAATACTGCCATTTGCGGCGAGATTAGAATGCATTTTGTACTCGAAAATCGACCTCCAAAAATATAGATATTGTATTCTTATCTACAAGGTTAACTACAATGCTTTATCTATTATCTTATATGAGTTATAGATAAGATCGGGTAGGGAGTCAATTTTTCGAAGGTCGATTTTCGGGTACAAGATGCATTCTATCCTTGCTGGAAATGGCATTTTCAATGTTAACTTTTTATTTTCTATTCATTGGTGTAAGTTGCGGCTGGTTAATAAAAAAGATTACATGGCACTACCATAATTACCACATAACTCTTGACCAGAATGAAATATGACCGAAATATTTCGGATCTCCACGAATCATAAGATTCATAAGGTTTAAGGTTCCTCAATTCTGGTGAAAGTGGCGACTAGTTAAAATTTTGACCACCCTCGAGTCTCAGGTCTCTGCTCAGCCCTCGGCTTTTGGTGTACAATTGATAAATCACCTTCTTCCGCTAGCCAGGTCGGATTACTGGAACGGATGTACGTTATACATGTTATACATGTGCCTAAAATTTATGCAGATTATTGGAAACAGCAGAAAACAAAATTCTGGTTTAGTTGAAATTTTTACACATATCCTTATCTCGATTTCACATTTTTTAATTATTACCTGAATCATCAACTTTGCTCCAATTTACTTGAGTAAATAATAAATACTTTGGTGTGATTCTACATTTTTGTCACGTTACTTCATCCATCTACTTATGTATACAGTCTCTACTGTAATACAAAGTAATATACTTAAGTATTATATACTTCTCTCACTATTTACGTAAATTTTCAATCAATCAAGCCTTTATTGTTAACCTTCGAGTTGTAAAATATATTCACTCTCTCTAACCTTTCTTTTGGTTTAAATATTCCACACGCCGGTTCGGCGGTTCCACAAACATTTATGTCTTAATGTACAAAATCAAATTCTATTTGTTGTATTGACTACTTTTTATTTTGTTATTTGTTCTCTTGCCATGCCTTCAAATATCTAATCTGAAATAAAATGTTTTATAATAACTTAGATAAGCAGATTTATTGTAATCGGCTACAAATATCAAAAATTTATGTTCCAGGAAATACTTGCCAAATAACAGGATTTTTATTTAAGACTTGCTAGTGCTGAATCATGACGACTACTCAAAAAAACGCATCATGTGGCTTAGACTTTAGTGCACTTCCACATGTAAGAGATGGCTTATATGTTGCAAGCTCTGCTAAGTAAGTATTACCCACTAAATCATTGTTGTATTAATAATAAAGTGGTAACCAGTTGACTCTATTTAAGGTATCAGTTCGTCACAGTACCTCTAGTTCATCCTAATTTTAAAAGAGAATTCATTGGTGGTGCTGCAAAAAATCGACCAGGGCCATGGACAAGATCGGATATGATACTTTGCAGTTCAGGTATGTAGAACAACTAATGTTTTTATTGTACGTTTTTTAGTAAAAACTTTTATGAATTCTTTTTGTAGACTGGACAAGTCTAATAGTTGGCAAAATTTCACCTCACATACATGTTGATTCAAAAGTACCTGTGATCGCAAAAAATAGTGAAGAAGCTCTTTACCAAGAATTGGCATTGTCTGCTCATTTAGGGCTAGCTGCAATCACGTTAAAGTTGAATGGAAATTTGGAAAAAAATATGAATTTGGCTAGAATATTATTCAACAAGCTTTCTACGGCCTTGCACTGCCATGTAATTTTTTAAATCTTTCATCAAAACCATTCCATTTGATTTTTTCAAGGAATTAATAATGTTTTTCAACTAACACCTTACTTTCCGTATAACTGACGAATACAATGGTTATTTAAATGAAAATCTTTTGTTGTATTTAGGCGCAAGTGTGGGTCCAGGTTCCCATGGAAAATCCTCGAAAACAGGCATATTCTTATAGAAAAGATAAAAATGTTGAACTACTGATGGAAGCTAATAAGGTAGAAAATACTTGGCATTGGTGGAACCAGTTCAGGACAGTTTGTGATTATGATCGAAAACTTAATGTTGCCTTAATTGTTAGTCATGATCTTCCTGATCCACAAGAGGTTGTTATATTTTCCAGTACTCGATAACAATCTGAACTTTGTGAAATTCAATCATGATTAACTTTGATATTTATAGATCGACAGGTGGGTTGGTGAACCAGTTAAATGTTTGATTATACCTACTACAGTATTTATAAGTAATAAAAAAGGATTTCCAGTGTTGAGTAAAGCTCACCAAATGATGATCAAGAAGTTTTGTCCTCTAGATGTACAGTTTGTTATAAGTGGCGCTAATCGTCATCAAAATGTAGTTTACTACTACCATTACATGGATCATTTATGGAAGGTAAAAACAATATAAATGACTGATGCATCTATAAACTTGTACACAGTAGTATTATGTTCTGAAGTGTAATAAATAAAATTTTAGAATTGGCAACCCAATGGAGCTGTTGAGCGATTTGCTCGTGGTTTTGAGGATTATCTTCAGTGTCCTTTACAACCATTAATGGATAACTTGGAGTCTGGAACTTATGAGATTTTTGAAAAGGATCCTATTAAATATCAAGAATATCAAAATGCTATCGAAAAAGCATTAATTGACATGGCTTCAGAGAAAGGACATAGTAAAGAACAGCCAGTGTAAGTGTAAGGTATATATAAAAAATTGTACTACTAATAGATACCGATGTCTAAACGTGTGCACAAATTATAGGATCATCATGGTTGTCGGCGCTGGTCGCGGACCGTTAGTTCGAGCTTCATTAAATGCTGCCTTAAATGCTAAACAAGTAATTAAAGTGTATGCAGTCGAAAAGAATCCAAATGCTGTTTTAACGTAAATTTTACATTTGTTTATGTTAATGAAATATCAATTTAGTAAATTTAAAGCGCTTGACTATGTTTACAGGCTGCAAGCATTGCAACAAGAAATGTGGGGGGACACAGTAATCGTTATTTCTTCAGACATGAGAAAATGGAACGCACCTGAAAAGGCTGATATTCTTGTTTCAGAATTGTTAGGATCTTTTGGAGATAATGAGCTCTCTCCAGAGTGTTTGGATGGTGTTCAACAGTTTTTGAAAGGTATTTCAACCTAATGATTAATATTTTCAGATAAAAATAAACTTTTTACTACTATAAACTTTTTTTTATAAGAAAATTAAAAAAAACTTATATTCTGTAGATGATGGAATAAGTATACCAAGTTCGTATACCTCCTACCTTGCTCCAATTCAGTCACCGAAATTATATAATGAAGTAAAGTCATTTAAAGATAAGGATAAGCATCCATTGAGTCACTTTGAAACGCCTTATGTTGTTCACTTTCAAAACAAATACGATATAGACGTTCCTCAAGCACTTTTTACTTTCCATCATCCAAACAAAGGTGCTATGCTTTAAATGCTCTAATCGATGAACTACTTATTTTAAAATTAAAGTAATCATTTGATGTTCATATGATTACTTTAATCTTATTTTATAGTTAGTATTCATGACTAATTTTATTTACTCTACATATCTACTAGATGAAACAGTTGACAACAGAAGATATTGTAAAAATACTTTTAAAGCTGAACAAGACTGTGTACTTCATGGATTTTCTGGATATTTTGATGCCGTTTTATACAGAAATGTAAAAATTAGTATTGAACCAAGAACTCATAGTCCTCGAATGTTTAGCTGGTTTCCAATATTTTTTCCTATAAAGGTAAGAATTACAAACTTTTTTCGAATACTTGATAAAACTTATAAACACATTTCCTTTTTTTATCTACGGATCGCACAACTAATAATTTACTGTAAAGATTCTATAGATGCTTTTATTAACGCATTGCGTCCCTTGAGAAAAGTAAAGATCGCATAATTAAGTATTACAACACAGTCACACAAAATTAAAGTATAGTTCTTGACTATAGACTAGTCATTTTCTATGTATGAATCTAAATCAATCGTTAAAATTAAAATGTTAGCTTATATTTTTTCAGAAGATTTAAAGTCACTTTTCTAACTTTAGGCCTAAGACAATATTATATAGGTGGCCTTTCTGGCTATAACGAAATATTAAAATCAAGTGACTTAGAATACATTGGCAGTGACTACTTCTTAGTTTTAATTTTTTATTGTGTGGCTGTGTAATCGTATGATTTAAGGCTTCCTACATTTTCTACCCTACTGGGTATTCCGTTTTTTGTTTTGCCTGAGCAAAGAATAGTAATAGACGAACTTAGTTGTAAACAACTTCTATATTCTATTTCGTAAAGTTACACAAACCTCAATAATGTTTTTTTATCAAAATGTGATTGAATTCTTGAAAACTCGAGCAACATATCTTCATATTTCAGTAATAAAACTTCATCAAAATTTTAAAATTTGTACAAGTAAAATTTTTTATGCAGGATCCAATGAATTTAAAAGCTGGTGATCAAATCGTTAGTCATTTTTGGCGCCGCTGCAATGACAAGAACGTGTGGTACGAGTGGGCCATCGAAAAGCCAGTTCCCATTCATGTTCATAATCCTAACGGCAGATCATCAACAATGGGACTGTAATGATCGCACAATGATTTCGTGTTCCGTATGACCAAAAAAAGGGATTCACTTTTAAAACCTTAATCAAATAATCAGTTTTCAAGTATATAGATTTTCAGACAGAAAAAAAAATCACTCATCAGCAGGTTTATAATGAACTTGAATGCAAACAATTACCAATTTATCAATAAAATCAACTATATTGTTTGCACCAAACAACGTTTGAAAATTTTTTATCATGGATCACATTGATTTAAAAACCTTTATTCGAAGGCTTGTATTTTTAAATGTTTTTCCTACTTGTATTGCCATCGAGGTCACGAAAGTCGTAACATCTTTTGATAACATGATCGCGCGGGTTATCGTTTTACGCATACTTAAATATTTATTGTAACGTAATCGATGTGTTACATGACCTATTGGCCTCACGTGATCCAAGAAAATTAATATTTGTGCAGTTTCATACTCTAAAATTGCACTGTTCTTTAATACTACCATTAAACTTTATTAGTTAAAATCCTTTTTTTTTTATTTTTACATTTTTTCACAGTTGATAAAAAAAATATATCTAATTTTAAAAGAGAATNAAAACAATTATTAGTTAAGTTTTAATAATTATTATTTTGAACGATTTTCATCTGAATTTGAAAATAAACGAATGATATGCAATGTAAAAAACTTCTAGGATAACTGACATTGTAAAAAAAAATAAAAAAATAAATTTTATTATTTTTTTACAAGAAACACGTTTTTATTATAATTATCACCTATTTTAAAATTGCCACGTTTATTGTTGACGTTTATGTATGACTTTCTTTACTATGATTTGCCTGTAAACTTAATTAAAATTTTTTTTTAAATGGAAGTACAAATTTTTAATAAATGTTTTAGCCAGCTAGTCAAACGATGCTCGAATTCAATAACCAAAAATCGGGGATAGTTTCGCGAAAAATAGTTGTTCTCACCCCCATCCCCTTATTTAGTCCCGAAATTGCCGCCACTATAGTTTTAAGTACAAATAATCGCGTTTGGTGGTAAGTATTTTGTTTGTAAGGGGGGGTCCATTCACTTGATAGTCGATTTTAGAGTAGTGGATAAGTTCCAATTACTTTACTAATGTTACTTCCTTTAACAACTTTTTATACTCTATTCATTGGGCCAGGCGACGGCAGGTGTAAATTTTGTGCATATAGCAATTTTTTTAAACCGATATAACTCTTCAAACTCTACACAGCGAAATCGAATCGTGAAAACACTTTGAATCACCACGAATCGTAAAGTTTCTCAACTTTTGTTAATCAAACGGCAGGTATTTTTTTGTCTCATACGTACCCTATAGCTATTAGTCTAATGTATACGGGTAATTTTGCCGTAACATGGCTCAAAATAACTTCAAAAATGGTTTTTTTTTTATTTACTTCAAAAAATTCATAGTTAAAAAAATAATTTAAAAATTAAAAATTACAGCGGTTGAAAGAAGAGCAATGAAACTTGCTGAAAATGAGATATTTTGTATATTTGCAGAAAATACGTTATTTCTCTTTAAACCGCTGTCACTTTCGATTGGTGGCACTAATTGGTATCGAGGGCTCAATCACAGCTTTCATTTAGGCCAAGTTAGGGCCTCCTAAAATAATGTACCGCTTCGCTACTAACGTTCGAAGCAGTATTACCATTACTAGATGGATCTCAAGAAAAAAAGCTTATTTGTACAAACTCCAAGACATTTGTCCGATATTTCAGCCCAACAGTTATGGAAAACAAGTTTAATGGTAATCCGTTACCCTAAATTGTGAAAAAGAGATACTTTTATTATCGAGGTGGACGGAAAAGACGTTTTAAGCTTTGAAAAGTTCGTATACCTCCTAGATAGAATGTGGATTTTTTTCTGAATAAAATGATACCCTCAAAAATTATACGAGATGCGGGATGAAGGTAGACGGAAAAGACAGAAATTGTTACCCGCGTACGTTATAAAAAATTCGTCAATCCAAAAAAATTCGAACCCTCGAGGCGTTCAAGTTTCGAACACGGATTGATAACGGCGCTGTTGATTGTTTAAGTACTCGTATGCTACAGTTAAAAAATCCATTTTTATACATAAGGATATTAGTAATATCTCTATGTTTTTTTATCAGTAGCATCGAACTGCTGAACCTTTTTGTCAAGGCCTAAAGTACGATGCACTACTTTCATACCATATTTTAGAGCCAAAATGTATGTACACTTCTAGGATTATTATAATGAAGGAATTCGGTGGCAATATTGATGACGATAGATCAACAATACCCCAAAGTTATTGACTTGTATCCGCAGCTACGGAGTATGTTCGCACGGTGAGGGTCGAAAGGTCTTCCCTTTTGTGATTGGAAATGAAAGAGCGCAACTTTTGACATTAATGCATTTCACGCATTCGACGGAATCACTACTATATACTCACTGTATATATAACTTTTTAAGAGTTCTCTCCGCGCATGGACCTAGCAGACGACACAAATTCATGCAGTATATATTATAGGAGAGAGGGAGAGTAGCAGACAGCAGAGCGAGATGATTACGTTATCATACTTTTAGAGTTGAAAAATATTGTTAGTATACCTATACACTTTTATACATGGGATAGTTTTGCTAGTTCAACCGCCAGCTCGGTTGCTGACATTCTTGCCTCCTTGGATTTTTTGGTTATTTTCTTGGGCTCTCGCGCTTTTTTCCTCAGTACATATCAGTGATCGTGTTCGCTTTAGCTCCCACGTGTGCAGCTCTCTCAGCTCCCATCTCACGGTCTCTCACGCCAGTCACCACAATTCGTTCAAAGTGGTAACATCAGAGCATTCGATTGTATAGTGGGCTCCGAACCATCACATCGAGTTGGTGCGTTAAGTTATTGTGCCTAGCTGCATCATCAACTGTTGTGTTTTTCCGAAGAGGACGATGTCACGACTAGCAGCCCAGATCGCGAAATGCGTCACGAGATCGGCAAAGCTACTTGGCCATCACGAAACTACCAGTTCCGTATCTACCCGAATAACGTCGAACTTTCTTGCGCGAAATTTCTTCAGCACCCACTGCTGCTTGCATGCCGGTGGTACGTACCGCACACATAACATATATACTTAAGCTATGTTCGATACAGCAGTTTGTATTCGTTGTGGGTTGCTTGGAGCTTTTATTATATAGGCTTTACGTGGTTGGAATTTTGTAACTTGGAGAACTTCTCTAAATCTAGTTCTACGTTGAGTTTATTTACGTGTTATCGTAGGTTCGTTCAAGCCCCTTTTGGTTCGGTCCGGTTCTCTTAGCAAAGTATACCTACATTTATAGGAAACCAAACAGAACTGGTTCTGTGTAAATAAGTATATTTTGTTCAGAGAACCGAACCGAACCAAAAGTGGCTTGAACAAATCTTAATGTGACGTCAGTTTTTAAAACTAGAGACCTTATTCTCGGTGTAACGCACACTACTACTAACGTACTCTAGCCGGCGGCTGCGTTCGCGAATAGAAATGAACCTACAGTCATCCATCTATAGTATACTGTAGCTTTGGATCCAGCATGGATCCTTCAAATGGATCAAGGCTGTATCAATGTGTCCATAATTTTGGATCAGTAATGGATCCTGAAAACTGTACTGACAGATAATTGATCAAAAATGGATGTAGTTGCTGTGAATTATTCAGCGTGAGATTTATGGTGAAAAGAAATATTAACATTTATATTGTAGAAGTTATGTAATAAGTTAAAAAATAGAATGGTGATGATTTGAAATCATACGTAAAAACAGTAATTTATTGAACGAATTAATTTGAATAAATAAAGATTAAATTATTTTACTCTTAACATATTTAAAAGTAATCAGTACATCTGTAATATAACAAAACTAACTTTTATTTATCGACTCGTTCATTAGTGACCAAATGTGTTATCGATGATACTTAATAATATAACATGAATAGTGTCAACTGTAGACTGCTTACGGGCCGACATATTCAATAGTTATTTGTTACTTAATTCATAGCTTCATGTACAACCTATTAGGTTTGTTCATTTATCCACCTTGGAGCGCACCGAGGTGCTCCGAGCGATCTATAAATGAACACGAGTTCTTTGGGTGTAATCCGCAATCGCCGCCAGCAGTTACATTATATATGTAAGACGTGAGGACGTGACAACGTTGCGTGGTTGGGGGCACTACTGTCGATTTACTGGTGATGTGATCCGCAATCCCGCCAGCAGTAAAGCTGTTATTTCCATTTTTCTTTTTGGCACTTAAAACTATTTTTTTTGGTCTGCGTGTTTGTTTACGTCTAGCGCAATATGCTTTGTTTAAAATCAGAAAATGTCACGAAAAAGAGCAAGTAGACCGACGTTGTCTGCTTTACTGCTGGCGGGATTGCGGATCACATCACCAGTAAATAGACAGTAGCGCCCCCAACCACGCAACGTTGTCACATCTTATACATATGTAACTGCTGGCGGCTATTGCGGATTACACCCTTTGTCGGAGCACTCCGAGATATCTTTATACTATATAGGTATACTCACTATGACTGTTCAGTGTTTACAAACATCAGTTATAAGCGGTGAGTATAGAACGAACTCGTGTTCAACTGTTCATTTGTAGATCGCTCGGAGACCTCGGAGCGCTCGGAGCGCCGCAAGGTGGATAAATGAGCAAACCTATTAATTATGCACACAAAAATACACTAGTCGCAAGCAAACAGCACTCATACTGTGTGTGTGCTTACCACGTGATATCATGATATCGTGATACAGCACTTCGGAACTATTATTATGGATCCAAAACTGCGGACACAATGGTTCCAGGCTTAATCAATGTAATGGATCCAATCATCAATTTCCTTTAACATCTTTATAAGTCAGTTAAGGTCACGTAATCATTTATCATGAGTGCGAGGGAGACAGTAACATTGTGTTGTCACCCTCGCACTCATGATAAATGATCAAAAGTACTTATCTGACGTAATGAACCGTGGTTAAGTGACCTAGTTACTGGGGCCAATCAGTCACCACCTATGTGTGGGGAAGTATTACCAAAACCATTTACCAATCCCCTAACTGGTACCATATCTATCATGCCATGGTCACAGTATGGAAATAAATATCTCCAGTGAAGCACGCTTTATCAGTGAAGCTGGTGTATGCTCTGTACCAATGATGCATCGGTTCCATTTGCCACTGTGTAGCCATCCCCCGGAGAAAGATACTTCAGGACATCCACTCCTCACCGGTGATGCCGGCGCTCTCTGCCATCAGATCCAGGCTAATTAGCATCCCCGAAAAAGACCCATCTTTCAGGGACCACTTCTCGCCGGTAAGGCTGGCGATCCCTGCCTGGCATCGGATCCGCTCAACCCCTACCTATGTATCCCTAACTTTGTTTCGCATTCACCCAAGCCTGAAGACCTATGGGACAAGAAAAAAATCCTGGAAATACTTACTCTGAACCAAACCCGCCTCAAAAGAGCCGGGGTTTCGTAAGAACCTTTTCCGATGAAAATAGTTTTTTTTTAAATCTGCATTCACCTGGAATTGAACTCTCGACCCCTAGAATGGTGTTGTATCAGTACCACGCAAGATTGTTACTGAGCCAACACCGCTCCTCATTTTCTATTATTAAGATGTATTATATTAAGTCCATCTATATATACCTCCTCGGGGGTGTGAAAATATGGTCCAGAAAATTATTATTTTTATCATGTTTTATTTTTATTTAAAATGTATTTTGTATGATATATTAATGGATTATTACAATGTATTGAGGCGAAGAATCTGTAAGAATCTATGTGGGGGACAGTGGGGGACCAAAAAAATCGTATGGTAGGAGGGTGAGGGTCAGTAGCGGCATTTGGGAGAATTGAATCATAATTTTATTAGATTAAAATATCGGAAAAATACATCAAATTTTTCCTGATTTGTAGTGTGACTGGGAGAAGGGGGGATGGAGTATCAACGGACGTCTGTAAGAATATGTAAGTCTAATGACTATTTATGATTAAATTTTTAAAAAACACAAGTAACGTAACATTGCCAAAAACAAATGAACCACTAAAACTTATAAGTACTAAGATTATAGCTATTTAAATATAATATAGTCCACTTGATCTCTGTATTAAAACACTAGAAAACAAGAAAAATTATAATAAAAAAGTATTGAAAATCTTGATAAGTAATAATACAAAAAAATGACTAAATATTAATTTATTAGAAACAAACGATGTCATTGAGTTACAAAAATTCAGTTAAAAAGACTGGTACTTATTAGAATTTTTTAACATGAAATTCGACGTTACGCTTCACTCTAATCAAGAATAGTTAAATTAGTTCTAACTTCATATTCATAAGTTGTGTTTCTTTAATTTTTAGTCATTAAGCTTTATATTTCTCGCTCTTAAGTTTAACTAGGTCTGCGCACAGGTTTTTATGAAAACTTCTTGCAGATTTTATGTTTTGTACCTTCACACGTAAAATGTACGCCAATGTATCTGGTTTTCGTCTGCCTTCACGGATATCCCATCAAAGTATGTATGTATATATATTGTAACTAACACATATATATATATATATATATATATACACAAACAGAAGTATTGATGTATCTAAGTGTCAAGGTAGTGTTCGATTATACAGCCTTATTGATAACTTATCTAAAACTAGCGGCTCCCCGTCTCGGCTTCGCCCGAGACTCACTAAATAGAATACCGTAGTGTGTTGACATGTAGGTATTTCTGACACTTCTCAGTTCAAAAATCTTCTTATTAAAAACATATTTGTTAGGAATGCATACATTTTATTTGGTCAAATAAAAAGCTGTAAAGAGCGAGAAAAATATAATTATGCTGAAAAGTACCGTGCGTTTCAGGTCCTTATGCCATAAAATAATCGTTGGTCCTAAAGGGCCGTTGATACCCACATACCCAGCTGCATGACTCATAACTCTAATCTTGATGTACTGCCGGTGAACAAAGGGGGGTTTCGAAAAGATGCTTGGGTCTATTATAAGCACACTTATTTAATTATATTGCAGGTAGCTTCGATTTTATTTCTACGCCACCTAGCGGATTTTACTGAACTAACGTGAAAAGCTAGCGTATTTTTGCAAAACTGAGCTTATTTATATCTATTGCTACTAATTTTTTCAAGATAAAAACTATACTAAAACCATCTAGAAAGTGTCAATAATCAATGTGCAAAATTTCAGCAAAATTGGTTCAGTAGTTTTCGCGGTTAGCGATTACAACGGTTTGAGTGACTTTCCTTTATATGTTAGTAAGATAAGATGAAATTTGTACTGATGTATAAACAGATAGCTTTAAATAAAAAAGCAGGAGTAAAAATGAAGTAATTGAAAATACGAAATGAAAAATAAGTTTAGCCTTGTCACTTCTGACCTGGTAAAGATTTTTTACTTCTATTGATATATGGTTCTTATATGGTTTTTTAATAAAGTCATTAATGGTATTGAAAATCCATGTAAGTTCCATAAATGAGATCACATATGTATGACAACACTGAAGAAAAAATTAATTTAATGAAAATCAAAGTTTTTGTGTAAAATTTATGTTACATCATTTTACGGGGACAATATGTAAGACTTGTGTAAAATTAGTAATCTTAGAGTTTCTCAAGGTTAAATGCTAAATTAAGTACTTACTTATTATCATTTGATTGCACTAACTATAAAAGAAACATTACCAACACAGATGTACGAATCCGAACACTACGTGCATGACGCACTTCGAAGAATCTCAAAAATATCATCCATCGCCTTGGCTGATAAATAAAATTTTTCGTAATACTACTGAGATTAGTAATTTCAACATTTCAGAGCAGAAATCTTCAATAGTAGTTGAATAATGGCATGGATGACGTTGCCCGTTTAAATTTGTAAAAACAACAAGCTTTTATCTTATTAATATCAACCCTGACAATACTGTCAAAATAAAAAAAAATTGATTATCGTAACCACAAAAACAATTGAGTTAAATTTTTTATTTTTTTGCAACATCACTCATTACTAATAGGCTAAACTCATTGTATTTTCAGAGAGGAGGTACACCGATAAGCACGAGTGGGTGACGGTCAGCAGTAACATTGGTACGGTAGGAATTTCCGACTACGCCCAAGATGCGCTTGGTGACGTTGTTTATGCACAATTACCAGACGTGGGGACACTCATCAAAAAAGATGGTAGGTCAGATTTGCATAGTTTCAGCTATACCGATTAAATTTAACGTTTAAATAATTGATTAATTTTTATTTTGTACTTATCGTATTTTTTTACTACTTTATAACTTTTCCACACAACTTTATAAGAACTTGAAAATTTTACATTTAATGTATGCAATTCAAATTTTGTTCCTTATTAACCTAATTTAGTTCAAATTTTTGACTCTCAAATTTCGTGGAAATTTCGGAATAACGTTCAGAATACCCGAATTCAGCAAAAGCTCTAACATATTGTATATTTTTTGCTCTTTTTTTTTAATTCATTTTTCACCTTATAAAAAAGAATCAAATTTTACTACTGCATCGAATAAACGTAGTCTTTTTTTTCAAACTTTGTTTTAACTCACTTTTTTATACATTATATACATCCCAATTACATGAATTTCTTATTGTACTTTTTTTTCTCTTCTGCGTGGTATAGTGGAAATACGATTTAATTAAGAATGAGCTGTACTCCTTAATTGTTCCAAATTTTTTCTTCCTCCAAGAATTATTCATCTTTTCTTTAAAAAAATTATTACTTTCTCAATGAAAAGCCATGTTAATGTACCCCATGTGATGGCGAGCGCCTCTAGTGGCAGAATAGCCCTCATGTTAAGAAAATTTCTAGTAGGACGTAGAAAAATTAAAAGGATAGTTTTCCAAAGTCGGTATTTTCGTCCTTAACATACACCTTACAGTTCGGCATGGTAGGGTGTAAACATTTCAAAAATCACTGAGAAAATCAAAAAAGATCCTGAGCGCGCGGTGGCTCGGTCGGCTAGGTCGTGGATTGGCACGCGGGAGACCGTGGTTCAATTCCCGGCCATAGTGCGACTTTTTCGGGCAAGTACCTCTGTGATTGATCACATGTGCTTTTTCACCACGCAATGCTCCTCGAGGAGAGATGTAGGCGACCTCCTCGCAGCATAATTGCCTAATTTCCCCCTACCCCCCTCCCAATAATGGGAGGTCTCCCATCCCTTTCCTTGTCCCTTTCCCAAGTGCTAAGTGCCCATAGTAGTGCCCTTAATAAAGGAGCCGGACGTAGAGCACTATAATATAAAAAAAAAAAAAAAAAAAAAAAAAAAAAAAAAAAAAAAAAAAAAAAAGATCCTCTAGAAAACTTTGTAACCAACATAAGGCCATTTTTCAAACGCGATTCACTTTATCATTCGTTATGAGAGGCAACTACTAGCGCCAAAGAGTCTTTACAAAAGTAAATGAAGTGGCTAAAGTTGAAACTAAAACCTCTACCATTTTACGAGTTTAAAAGAAAACCGCGAAAATTTAGCGCCATTCTACAATGTAAAAAAGCATCATGTGCCAATAACTGGAACTGAAACCTCTCCCTCGCGTCTCATGACGATTCCTAGCCGGTGATACTCGAGGGGTCGTGGGTTTAAATCCCGTCGAAAATTATCGAGATTTTTTTTCTCGGTCTTTTTCGATGGGATGAGTACCCAGGATGCCGAAACACCACTTATCCGATTTTTAAAAACGAATAGTCGATTTTTCTGGTTTTACTTTTATTGCTGATTCACGATTCCTTCGTCCCACAGTTTTCCCGCCTGTAACAATTGCTCCAACTGATTATTTCAATCTTATCTGTATGGTGAAAATAGTAACTTCTATCGCTTTTCTATTTTGAGCTCAACTTTTGTATTGCCTTCCGTAACTTGCTCCTACCTCATCACTTTCTTCTTGGGATTTTTGTTTTTACTCTCTCCTGTCTTCTCGTTTATTTTTCTGGCAACTTTTTATTTTTTTACAGTTTTGAGTCAAGTTTTGGACTTTCTATGGCTCTCTTTACTCCTTACTCCACCTCCCTAATGACGTTTTTGACCTCACATTTTTTTAAACCAGTACGTCCCATTTATTTGATTTCTTGCAACGGCATCACCAAAGCTGGGGGGGGTGGTATCAGCTCACATATTTATAGATTCGCATAATTTTTTTCAAGTATTTATAATTTTTCAAAAACTATTCTTGTATTAAAAATTTTTCTTTATCGTACGTATACGTAAGCCTATTGTTAATATATTGTTTTTTTTTTTTCCTTCATATTTCCCCCCCCCCCCCGGGTTATTGACTGGTGATGCTTTTAATTTCTTGTGTCCTTTTTTGTGCATAGCCCATCATTCTTTGTTTTTAACATTTTTTTTCTTGATACCTATACGTTAACTTTCGTACAATCATACTTTGGTATATTTCGCGTTTGGACGATTATTATATTCTAAGATTTGTTTTTGAAAAAATAAAAGAACAGTATATAAACATTTTTGGAAGCCATCCCGGCCCAAACGAATGAAATATAAATTGTTTGAATGGTTTGCAGAGGAGTGCGGCGCCCTGGAGTCGGTGAAAGCAGCCTCGGAAGTCATGAGCCCGTGCAGCGGCAAGGTGGTGGAGAAAAACAAGGCCGCGGAGGACAAGCCAGGCCTCATAAACTCGTCCTGCTACGACGAGGGCTGGCTCTTCAAGGTCGAGCTCAGCGAGCCCAAGGAGGTCGAGAGCCTCATGGACGAGGACGCCTACAACGAGTTCCTCAAGACCGATCCGCACTAACTGCCAGGGATGCGTTGCTGCTAGTTAATATTATACATATAAATACTTGTAGTCCAACATCCGGGGAATCGTATACGTATATACTTACTCAGCTGTGTGGTAGAGAAAAACCACATTGCACGCAGCCAAACATATTTGTAGCGTACGGACAATATTGCATGGGATGTGCCTAATCGTGCCATCACGAGTCCAAAGAAATACTCACGTAGGGTGAATATAAACAAAAAAAAATAAAGTTCTAAAGATCGTTTGAGCGCATGCAAAATGTTTCAGTTGTGTAACTCATAATGTAAAAGCTATATATTATTTGTCTCGTCTCGTGTATCGATTATATATATATACATCTTGATGTAAAAAAAAAAAAGATATACTTTGTAAGTTTTGAGATACGGAAAAAAGTAAAATATATGTATATATACTTAGTTGTGTTTCCAATCGTGTGTGTACAATATGCGCATGCGTTTATTTATATTAAAACATTGTTGTATTTTTCGAAAAACGGTCTTTTTATTCTCATATCATCGCCTACTTTTTCTCGTGTATTTGCTGGACGTCTTCGGAGCTCGTGTTTAACAAAACTGTACAAAACTTTTGTATTATTTTTCTCTGGGTTCCTCGTGGGTGTCCAGCGTGCTCCATCAACAGCGACATGAATACTTTTCCACACACGTTTCGTGCTACATCTTTGTAAACGTAAAATAGTTTATGAATATATATATATATGCACATATTTGCGACAAAATATTATATTTCGATCCATCTAATATATCCTTGACATAATTGTTTTTCCGTTTTGCTCTTTTTCACAATCCTGACATCGCTTATTTAATGACATATATAGTCGCGGACTCGTGCACTCATTGCACTGCTAAAAAGTGTAGAATCAACACGGCCACATTTAAATTATTGAAAGCAACGTCGACGTTTATTAATAAGATTCGAAACCCCGTAATCTCTTTTTTGAAATTAATTAATGTTGCGCAATAAATCGTTACCAATTTTTCAAATACAATCAATGATTTTTCTTTTGGTTTGTTATTTTAATTATACTTGATTTTTATTCATTTAGACATTTAAATAAAAGTCGAACGGAACGTAACAGACCCTGAGAACAGTGAATTTTTTTTTTTTTTTTTTTTACACACGTATGCATTAAAGTATTAAATTAAAAAAAGTGCTAGTCGGAGCTTTCACTGAATTATTGCAGCTTTCGTATTTTCATACCGTTGTCGTTGCCAAGTTTCTGCCCTCTCCCTCTTGCTTACAACGCAGAATTTTTTTTGTTCTTATTCACCACGAGAGTTCACAAACATCTCGTTCGATAAGAAACATCCCGTGAAAAAAATTGCTTGACCAAAGGTAAAAACATCAGAGACACCTAGACTTGTCATTGAAATACGTGTGATCATCGATAAGGCGCGACCTGACATCGCGCAATAAAACACATGGCGACGTCAAATTTGAAAAGGAACGATATTTATGTTAATAATAAAGATATATTTACATTCATTAAGTTTCTCTTTCTACATAATTTACAGTTGCCAGCGTCTGAATGGCAGTGTCAACAACGACAACGCTTGAGTTTCCTCAGCGTTGTGCTTCTCTCTCATCGTTCACTTGGATTATTCTCAAAATCCCTCTCTTACTCTTTTGCATCACTTTTTGTTTCATCGCGCGCAATCACCAGAGCTTTTTTTGCCTTTCTTATTGAACAACGAATCATCACTATCATCGTCGTCATCATTATTCTTATTATTCTGGTTGTGTAAAAATTAAGGTGACTATATAATTATTATATTTGTATCTTTTTTTTTTTTTGTTTTTTTAAATGAAATTATTAGCCAATTATAATTGGTAACTGTACATTAATATTCAACACAATGTTCATAACGTCGCAATTATATTACTTACTAATTACAATTATTGTTAACAAACACATGATATTTATTAACGTAATTCATTGGGCGATTAAATAGGATGGACATATACAAAGACAATGAATTTTTTTTTTTTTAATTTTCATTTAAGGCTAGACATCGAAGCGATAAAAATACTTAATATACTTTTTAAATCTTTCGTTTTCGTTCTTCTTTTTTTGCTTTTTTTTTCTTTGTTTACAAACGATGGCGTTTCGCAGATAAGTGTGTGTACAAATACTGTTTCCAAATATTCAAATCGACAAGTATAATTGATGAGAATTGACGAGCAGCGGTGAGTTGCGACAAATAAAAAAATACCACAATAAATAACACTATCCAATTCGTTCCTCGATGCACGAAACACAAATTTAATCAGAGAATGAAAAGTGAGAGTATACGCAGTTAGACGGTAGCTGCAAAGTAGAAAACAGATCCATTGCAGTTACGAAGTAATTTTAATAATTAGAGAAACTAATCACTGTAAAGGTAACATTATTGGCGGTGTGTATGTACATTTACAATTAACAACAGAAATATGATGGGATATCGTCTACGCTCTCGCAGGAACAAAGAACTCCCAGTGTTTTCTCGCTCTTCTTTATTCTCAATAAAAATATAAAACTGCTTTCACCTGGGGACTTCCTTATTCAGAGCTGTGCGATTACTAAAATTGTAAAAATACGAAAAATAAACTTAAACATTCATAACGAGGTAATCATACGTTTCCATGTATAATTAAAATGGTAAAAATGTACTTATGGTATCGTGTGTATATAGTGAAGCTAATGAGAATATTTCCATGTCAACAAAATGAAATGAAGTAAAACGTAAGAAATTCTGCTTCGTGGCAGTAAAGTTGTGTGATCTGGATGTAAAAAATTTGAAACTTTTACGTAACATGCTTTTTAAAATATTTTCTCACAAAAGTTATGCCATCATTAACTGTACATTTAAAAAATTAACAAGAAAACCCTCACTCGCTAATTGTAACAACATTCGTTAAAAATCTAGTTTGATCTATTTATTTACTATTATTAAACTTTTACTTCTTTGATACACTCACAAACATTACATTAGGTACATTATTTGTAAAATGTGCTGGTAAAGTGATAGTATTAAAATAGTGTTTTCTTTATTTTTTTTATACATAATGTATATGTATGTATTTATTTATATATGTATGTATATATTTAAATTACAGTTCAGGTACTTTCACTTAGTAAGTGGAAACAAATTGGTACGCGCATTAAAGATTAAAATCTGTACATGTATATTTAGCATAACGAGTGAAGGCTTCTTTTTTTTACACATTTCAATCTTTTTGTGTCACTTGTTCTGTTTTTTAAATTTGATTAGTTTTTTAGTGCACGCATCTATTTGTCACGTTTGATCCTCAAAATCTAGAGTTTGTGTGTAATAAAAACCGATGGCTTAGTATTAGGTACCACAGGTACATCGTGAAACGACGACCTTCACAGCACTGAAAAGTTTCCTGACTATTGCCTGAATAATAATATAATCTACAACTGAAAATAATTACGATCGATGCAATAATAATAATAATAATAATAATAATATAGCCCTAAAAGTTTGCCTGACGTTATGGTCAGTTTGACCGTCATTTACTGTCAGGAATACTGTATTTTTATGTGGAAATGACCGTCAGAGATTTTTCTGACCTGTCATTGTTCAGAAAATAAGAAAAAATTAGATAGGCAACTTAAATCATTTAATATTTTCCGTGAGTTAGTCTCTTATTCAAACTATTTAAACGTACAGATACAACGTATTTTTACAACTCAATGACTTCGTCATAA